CCCCAGACGGAACTTGAACTCAAAAGCTGAGTTGGGATGAAATGGTGCCCCGGTAGCGTAACTGGTAGCGCACTTGCCCGGAAAGCAAGAGGTGCGGGTTCGAGTCCCGTCTGGGGCGAAAGTTTTGTTCACAACCCAGCATTCTTGTGACGTTAATCAGAAAATTTATACACCTCCACAAATTGCCAGAAATGGCCGTGTTGTCCTCAATATTATAGCTCTATAAGGGCATCATAGAAACGTCCATTCGATGAACTGAAAGAGCGCGGCGTTCCGGCGGTGGAAGCTAAGGTAAGCCATTCTTAACCCATTCCGAACAGTCATTGTACGTGCACCTCCATAGGTGATCGTTGTTCATTATGTAACCAACCAATATTCGGCAGTAATTTTATCAGTCTCAACAAATCAAATATAAATAAATGTGTGATAATTCCTTTACAAGTAAGCAGCAGTTTGTCAGCAATTTTACCGGTGTCCAAAGATGTGATAATTTCTGTACCTGGAAAAGCCTACTAAGAAATTTCCTACGTGGAAAAATGGCAAATAAATTAGAGGTAACGATCTTTTTAGTGGGATGGCGTGCTTGAAATATTGCAGCACGCGGTCCGCAATGGGTTCAAATTCTGGGTGTTATCTGAGCATTTCCGAAACCCTCATCAGAAAAGTATGAAGGGATGAGGCTCTTGATTGGGCACGTTAACCCGTCAGGACTTTGACAGCGTCAAAAGTTCGACACGTTGCTTAACATAAACATTCAACCTCGCGACAGATGCAAAGGAACACAACAGCGACCTACATACAGTTGACCCTTCAAATAATAATAAGATATACCTTTTCCAGTCTTCGAAACTCTCTCGAAAAGTGCAGATATTTGAAAGAAAGGCTTCAATTTTATCTTTAGACTTTTCTCTATAGGGAAGAAATGAAATCACGAAAAAGCGTTTCGGCGAACACCTTTAACCGCTACTGTGTGCCGGGGCTTTTGGAACTTTGAATCTTTGGAAACGTTTACTAGCTCCTGAATTTGCTTGGTGCGACGAAAGTACCAGCAGAAGTTGAGTTTAATATTAAAAAAAATAATAGATTGACACACGTCTATTTTGAACCAAATTGTAGCTTAATCAATCAATTACTATATGAATCGATTGAGTAGAACAGCGAAATGCTTAGTACTGAAGATTCGACGGATTATCGACTCACCGACATTTTTGCTCCACGGTGGATGACGACCTTCACTTGGAGAGAAGAGAGGAGTTAACGGGGCGGAGCTTGAAAAACAAAACGCAGTAATTCTTCATGCTCTCAGAAAAGCATAAGATGCAATTGCATAAAACACAGAACGAGTAGTCCGTACTTATATAATCTAGTTCACTTTCGACTAGTATAAAGTCCGCAAGCTGTTTTGCGCAAACCAAAGTCAAGCACCAGGTCAGCAACTTCTGAGAGGTAGTAGAAGTGTCGCTTATTCGCCTAAGTTGGAAAGTGGGGGAGGGGTGAGATTTTGGGATGAACCAGGAGGACCAAAATCGTCTTCCTCACGCCTACTTTGTTTTCCGTCGGAAGGCATTTGGAAATTTTCACTCGTCTGCCTAATGCACTGTATCCTCTCTGCCCTCAGACTGGGAAGTGGGAAGATGGTAGTTGGCCCCCTGGGGAGGTATTCAATCCTTCCCCCGGGGGTTGGGGGACGAAAATCCCTTTAAATTTATTTGTTTTTAACGATGTAGTTTCTTCATTTTCAATGCATGCTTACTTTACCTACATACATACATTAAATAGGCCCTTTATCAGGACAATCCCAGTTGGGAAGACAGAGAAAATTTAAAGGGATTTCGTCCCCCAACCCTTCGGGGAAGGATTGAATACCGGCCCCTGGGGAGTGTATGGGGGTCTCTAGGGGAGTGGAGGAGGTATAGTAGTCGCGAAATCCTTCTCAGCGGTGCTTGAAGCTGGTGGGAAGAAAATGAGACACAGGTAGAAAAAATGAGATAATGCTTAAACTTTGATCCAGAAAGTAATAAATACAAAAGAAATGAAAGCGTAAGTGAAACTTTCCGCATAACTTTTTATGACAGAATTGCAATCAGTTCAATTTCAGCATCCCGTACAATCATCAAAGAAAGATTTCTGTTTAGCCATAATAAACTTGTTCTGCAACTTGTCGAGTATTACTGCGTTCAATTAGGTAACATTGTTCGATTGTATGGAAATTCTCGGAAGGTCTCAAAAACATTGTTGCAAAGCTAACTGCTAGACTTCTCGAGCTATGAGCGACAGGTGATTGCAAAAAAAACTCGAATAATATGATGAGTAATGTATTCCTGAGCCTCATGTCATATATCCTCTTCTAAGCAATTTTGTTGCTGAGGATGTTATCCTAACGGTCACTGATAGGCTTTCGCTTTTAACAACTCGTCGGACCTACAACATGGGACATCGAAAAATTTTGCAACACATCATCTCAACGGAAACCGTCTAACCAGCCCAACACCTTTTGTTAATCAAAAATCCCCCCTGATCAATGCCTCATGAGCGTAAATTAAATTATGGCTGTAATCAACACAATTGACGACAACAAAATGATGAGCATCACACCCCACTAAGCCTCTAGTCATCAAAAACCACCGAGAATAAGCTGTTTTATTTTATAGGACTTGCTAATATACCATTAACTTAGGAGTCGTTTTGGCCTCTTGAGTTCCTCTTTGCTCTTTATTTACTCAAAAGCGTTGATTAGAATCATAATATGAAGGCAATGAACACGATCCCTGGAGGGCGGAGCGATTTTGGTGACGTGCTTGAGTGTGATTGGCGGAAGGGCATCGGAAGGCGGTAGCAAACAGAGCAGGTGAGGAGTCCTGCCCACTAGTGACGTCCGATGACGTCATCGAAACCGCTTTACGCTCCAACCATCGGGTTGGTTCACTACCCTTAATTTGGGCTCTCAAGACAACGATTAACAGAATTTTTTATGAACAGGAAGTAGGCCTGTTCACTTGATGTGTGTTAAGATGATAGGTGGAAGATTCATCGATTTGGTATGCCTTAGTGCCTTAGGTCTGGCGATGCCGTTAAGACAGTCAACGCGTAGAAATTAACGAAAATAAAAAAATGTATGATAAAATTAGTCACGAAACAAAAACAAAAATTTTTGGAAATTTTTTCGAACTCGTAAGCAGTAACCAGGTGCGGTTTGAATCAAGTTCCTATACGATATGATTTTTTTGAGAGTTGGTGCAATAATAATCCTGACATAGAGGTAAGGAATGTTGGGAAAGTGACGTTTATATGGTGCTACATCTGTTGAATAAGTGGCCAGATCACATATTGCTGCTTGATGTTTCGCCTAGAGGATTCATTAATTCTATTCATTATCCTCTTGCAGACATGGCCGAATAGGGCGGAGTGGTGGGCGTAACCCAAAAATTGTTTCAGAGAGAATATGTGTGAACGTACAGTTGAGAACAAAAAATAAACATGCACCTGTATTTTCTTTCTTAGATTTTGCTCAATTCAGACAAAATGCTACCTCAACTTATTTCTGATTATTTTGACCCGAATTCGATGAGCCATGTATTTCTATCTTTTCTATTCTTCAAAATCAAAGCAGGCGCTTTTTTTGCTATATGTTCTTTTTTACGAAACCCTAAGGTCATTTTAACAAATCTTGTAGATAGCTGGAGCATGTAGTTCTTACTGGCTTATGTGCTTTATTTTGTTCACAAATTGGAACAATATGGGGCATGATGGATACTTTTCAGAGCACGCAAGTGCTGACTACAATCATAAAAGACGATTTGAGTTTAAACTAAGTAGTCCGGTATGGATAAACATGGTCGTAGTATAGGTAGCACTCCTACCCAGTAAGGCGGTCAAGCTTCGAAACCTGGCTGGGCTAAAGCGTTTTGCCCATAACTCAGCATATTTTTAGAGGGCCCACTTTTTGAGCAAAAGGGTGCATAGGATATTTGATTCTCCGATGAAAAAAAGAATAAGCCACTGTTGGTGTAATTTTCGATGAAGCGATAAAAATGATGCAAAATTCAAGAGTTTCAGAAATTCGGAGTTTTTTTTTTCAGCAAAATTAAAAGGAAATGAGTACCGCACCCGTACCCATGGCATCATGGATATATTTTTCAAAAGCGGTGCATACTTGTGGATGCACGTTGTCGTGTGCCGCGGAGTTCAGAAACCCATGAGGATTGCCCTGTTCATCCAGTGTGCTCGGCACGGCTCTGACAAGTCATATAATCGAGCTCGTTGATTCGATTGTAAATATGCCGTGGATTCGCCTCGAGCGGTGTCAGAACTACTGTCTCGATGAAACTTGAACCATAGAGGTCTCGTGATCGATGTAGGAGGGAACACTGGTGCACTGTGACACAAAAAAGTGAGTAAGCTCAAAATTTCGAGGAGCTTCGCTCGAAATTGAATATGTCATGCATCACTGCTCTCGTCTCTTCACAGGAAAGAAACAACTCTTTTTTTGCAGTTTTCATCGCTTAAATACGAAACTATCCTATTTGAAAGCGCTAACTTAACGAAAACTAGTTAAGGCCTTAAAATATGAAGAGTGAAAAGATTTAGGCATAGGAAGATTTTGTGAAATTTTGACGAACGTTTCCGAATTCTGAAAGCAACACATATACAGGGGTGGGGCAAAAAAATGGTCGCTTTGGCTATTGCGCACATCACCATACTTTCGTCGCTCATGAGACTGCTGTTGATGAAAGTTTCACGGCGAAATATCTCCTAGATGCCCCTCATAAGGCTCTGCTTCAGTGCCCTCACCGTCTCCAGAATATTACATCATCTGTCACTGCAGTTCATAAGGAGCCCCTCAACTGCTCCAACCTGAAGCAGCAAGCTTATTTCTTAAATCAATTACCTCAAAAAAGTTTTCCAGGGAAGATCTGACTATGGGAAACCCCTTTCAACTAGCGTTCCAGTAAACGCCGTAATGGGCCAGCCCACGATCCGTCGAGGACCTGTGTGAGCTCAAAACGTAGACCATATTCTCGGGGAAAAATCTTCTGATGCCAAAAGCTATTATTTAGTTCTCAGACAGATGTGCTAAAAAACTGAGAAGTCCTTTTCAATACTTAGATGGGTGCTTTCGGTTTCAATTAAGAACACTGTAAATATTCCGTTTCAAATATGGAGGGTGAGTGAATCTTTTTTCTGGTTTCCCTCCCCCCCCCCTCTCTTTGTGTGTGGAATTGTATCTACGACTTTATTCAGACTGCTGCTCAAATGAAAGATGAAGAACGCTGAGAACAAAAGGGTTTCAGAGCGCACTTGATCAAAAAGGCTTACGGAGGGGATGACCAAGGAAATGTTATGTTCACATCTACGCCATGTACAGGGGGGGGGGGGCAAAAGGACATTTTCCCGTGTCGCACATCAGCAATTTTTCGTTCTTCGCAGAGATTGCTGTCGTTGACGGGAGTTCCTCAGCAGAGTATTCCCTAAGTGTCCTCTATTAGTGTACGCAGGCCCTCCTTCACTGCCCTCACCGTCTTCAGAATATGACGTCATCTGTCACCGTCGTCAGCTCAAGGAGGTCTACCGTAACTGCTTCAGCCTGAAGCTCTTACATTAATTTCTTGAATCCATTCACTGTTTTATAGATAACTAGAGACCATGAACTAGAGATAAACCATGACTATGCACCCCTCCCCTCCCTCCGAAACCTTTTCTTATGCCATCCATCTGATGGCCATTTTAAGCTGGAAGCATTCGTATTGAGTTTAGCAAGATGTGATCGAATCCATTCGAATCCATTCGGACGTGGAGAAGAAATGCTGTTTTATTGGTCCCCTTTATATTTGAGGAGGATAAATGATTCACTGAGAATTGAAAAATACTGCATGCGTTGATAAAAAGATTTCTCGGTACTTGCCTTCATTTTGTATGTTGGAGTGGAAAACAGGGCCAGCAGAACGAAACCTCTGCAAAATATTACTTCCCAGGGTGAGGTAAATATCTGCTGTTATTCCCTTATTACTGTTAAATTTGTAGCGGCTCTCATGGAATGCAACGAGAAACAATTTGACGAGCTTGTCACACTGAAACAGAAAACGCAACCATGTGGACCAACGCAGGCATATGAATAATAACTCATCACTCATGTATAGTTTCATTCCTATTCAACAACGAATTCATTAGCAGTGGCATGACTCCGCCATTGATAGCCAAGCCTCGAAAGGAGTGGCCTCTACCCACTCATTTTTACGCACCAACCTCAGGATCTGTAAGAATCTGTATGAATGGATAAGCAATGAGATGAGAGAAAAAGAAGTACCCGTACAACAGCTTGACTTTCATATAGCCGACCAGATGGAGAAAGTGTGCTAAATGGAGGAATACGTCCGTCGTTTTATCAAAGCAGGAAAGTTTGAAAAAAAAGAAGCCCTAGCAGTAAAATCAGGCCAACCTAAAAAAAAGATCCTGAGGTTTCAAAAAAACTACAAAGAAGGAAGTGAGAGCATGTAGAGATTGATCTACTTTTCCATAGCTGACTTTGCTGAACAGGCCGATTGTGAAGAATAATTGAAAACATGAGGGACAATAAAAGACCCCGAAAGAGGAGCGAGGTTGCTGAAACCAAGAAACCCCACCGGGAACCATACCGTAGGATTGCAATATGACAGAACGATTTACAGGGATTAAGAATCAAACCGGTGACAGACAAGAGATAATTATATGTTTTCACCCAGAGACAATAGCTGGAATCCAAGGAAGGAGTAAACCCATCGACCCTTAAACTGATATGGTAAAAACCAACTGCTTTCCTTCACAATATTAGAAAGAATTTTCATTTTCAAAAAGCATTAATCCTTGTAATGCCGGACAAAAATCCGTTTACAACAACCATTGTAAAGAAATATTTTCATATTGCACCTAATCCTTTAAATAATTTAACCATTATTGCCCTTACGTGAATATTGTGAGCGCGCCGCACTGGTCTGTCTCCCTGGAAACCATACTCCCCGCGCAACTCAGTTCATTGTTAATACGACTGCTTAAAAACAAGCCCAGACCGCTGCTAACGCCTACTGCCATGTGAAAATCCAGTTTGGGAGGTCATCTCTCGCTGTTTAATCCTTGAGAGAGCATTCCTTTGGGCTCTCTAACACCAAGGGTAAGATACTGTGAACAGTTCATTTAAAGTGTACTGTTGAGAAGGACAGGTGGATGTCCTACAATCTACACATCGTGCCCACATCCTATCCTATTTTGTTCATTGTTCATCCTACCCGCACCTCGGTGCTCTCTCCACTACCTAATATATCGAAGCTAAGGTCCACATACTCTAATTCGCGTGCGCACTTTCTAGGGATCGATGGCGGGTCTCAAACCCTGGTGGAAGACCATCAGATCACTAATCCTACCTTTACAGGGCTCAGCTATATTATCAGATGGATACTTAAGTCAGTCCAATTTATCTCAATTCTGACGTCTCTCCAATTCTATGATAATCAATTGTATCTACTGGATAACAATTGGATCCACCCCTACCTCCGCAAACCAGAAATAAAAATGATTGTAGCAATTTTTAACCCCCATTGCCTCATCTAAGCTTGAACCCAAAACAATGCAGCCAAACGCATGAGTACCAACTATAGAAATGAGCTATATAGACATCAAGGACGTGTCAAAACGCACCCTGGGCGTGGTCGAAGTGCCTAAAGGACAGGAAACCACCGTTGCAGCATGTGAAATCTTGGTTTGGGAGAGAGAGAGGGAGAGCAACCCTATCCGCTGTGAAATCTAAACATGATAATTCGTAATCGGAGCCTCCCGAAGAGTCCTGAACTCCCGATATAAAATTTCTTTGTTGCTTTTTCAGTTTTTCTAAATTCGTCCCATTTTTGATGGGTGAATGCCTAACTGCTAAAGGGATTGAGCATAAAGAACCCAGTGTTCAACGTCTTGAAAGGGTAATTTACGACCCCAAACATTTCTGAACTTCATCCAGTGAAGATGTGGAAAACTGTGTTAACTTCGCGTCATGCAAACTGTTATCCTAAGAGAAATAAACAAATAAAGCGATGTCCTTCTAGGTCCAACCCTTGTAAGTCCTGGTGCTGGTGCTGGTCGGTCTGCCCATCGTTGCGGTGTCTCATCCGCGTCGTTCGCTGATCTGCTCCCTCTCTTCTCACAGGCTTTTTTCTCCTATCCGCGTCCACTATCTTATCTCGATGTTTACTTCTTACAATTTAGACTTAGACTAAACCCTTAGCCTAAAACAAGATCTAATCTGTAGTTCCAATGATCTCGATAGTTTCTTTTCCTTCCTTGCTTTCCCTTTATCGGCATTCCTCGTTCGTACTCTTATTACCATATTCGAGCGGAACAGCCAGACCAACTTGATCCAGGCCTTAGTACAGATGAACTACTGGAAGGAGCAACAAAAATCTGCTGCAGAATACGGAACTCTACTTGCAGCTTTTTTTCTCTACTGCAGCTTTCGGAACTTTTTTGTATACTTCGCTTGTTTCCTGTGCAGTGATTAGACCATTGTTTACGTCACTCTACAAGCCCCGGGTTCATACAAACCGCCTCCAAACAGCCATGTACGTGCCTTTTGACACGTTCACGCACTAATTGGCCAACACGACCAACACTGAATAGATCCACTTTTTCAGAAACCAGCTCTTCAAAGCATGCTTCGGTGGATGATGGAAAATGAGTCTCGTATCTAAAGTTTGCAGGCCGAATAGTATGATATACTGATATGATTTTCTCCAACTTAGCCTTTCACCTTCATTCTCTTAGTGCTCACCATCGTTGTGTCGTATAACTTCGTATAATGTATGCATACGACGTTGGTGCACTCTTATGAGTAAATAAGTAAATAAATAAATAAATAAATAAATACAATGCTTAGCGTCGAATTTTCCATCGCGTCTTTCAAACAGCATATTTTTAATTCATAACCCAGAAAACCAAATAACAAAAACAACTCATATACTCAATTAAACAATTTCCATGCGCGGCACATGAATGAAAATCACAATCATCTCTACCTCCACAAGAGAGAGGTCTTTCTGCAACACCACCTTTTCCACAAAACGCTTTCCTGCATATTGTAGGCACCGCTATTTGGGAAACCATCAAAAAGCATTTTCATTTCGCTGAAACGTTTTAGCATAACCTGGTGGATATTGTTTGATGGAAAAAGAAACCATAAAGGTACTGCTAAGGTTCATCCCACTGCGATCTGAACCTCATTTGGGTGCCGGGGGCCTACAAGTTGCTTGAAAATATTCGCGCTAGAAGTCAAAATCAATTCCCATATCTATCCGGGCCAGGGCATTTTCCAAAGCCCAACAAGTGAACACCAAAATCTGCAATTTGCACCTAAATGTAGTCTCACGCGCGCGTGGGATCGGAACCCATCAAAGGTAAAATTCACAAACCTTGTTCGACTACTAAAGTTCAGCCGACAAACGAAACATCGTTTGTACTCCATACATGTCGTACTACTAAATATGCACAAACGTTCCAAAAAGCGGCTGGCTTCCCTGAAAGACCCTCTTTGTCAGAATTTTCCGAGCCAAAGGGGGTCTGTTTAAAAGCATAAACACACCGTTCGATCCGCTGGTACACAACTCGATTCGCTGGTGCAACGCTCGTATCAACGATTTGCTAGCAAATCGCTGGATTCGCACTCTGACATCGGCCTTTGACATGAGTGACATGTGAGCAAGCGTTGAGAAAGGGTTGACGATCAAACATATAAGTAAAGAAAGGATAAAGCATTTGCCGTTGATCAATCCCTTTTTGGGATGCGGCACGCATTCTACTTCCATTTGTACATTCGTAGTGGCGTTTGAATGCGATGTGGCCTATACAATGACTTGCGGGGGCCAGCCGATGTACAAGTCAGTGTTTTTATCCTCCCAGACAAGTCTGGTACCAATTAACCGACCCCGGAGGGATGGAAGGCTTGGTTGGCCCGGGCGACTCACGACCCAGGATTTGATCCCCGGACCGCTCGCGTGGTAGCGCGCCACTTGCCACTGCACCACTTCCGCCCCAGTTTAGAAGCATCACAAAATTAACTGCTCAAAATATTAAAACATGAACATAACACACATACCGCCAACCAGGATAAGTCGCGTACTAGGAAGTGCGCTGCAAAACCATAGGACACCCTCGAGAATTGCGAATATTTGACCATCCACAATGCATCTTTGATTTTATTGTACCATTAGAAGCGGTGCCCCCTACAGACCCAAGCTCATTTGCACCACCTTTTGTGCTTCTAAAGATATTTTTGTTTTTACTCTGCTGCAAAACTATAAGTCACGCCTGCGAATTACCTTTGCTGTTGAATTTTTGATCTATCCAGCAACAATAACAGCACTTTTTTTGGCGTACGGCAGCTCTAGTCGAATTACGGCTTTAGGAGCTTCCCTCTCCTCTCCAAGCTAGACGTTGGTTCTATACGCACTTATGTTAGTGGGTCTGACGAGAATACCGCCATTTTGGGAGCTTAGAAAAACCATAGCTAGGTATTCCAAAATTGTCATGAGTAGAAGCAAGAGAACACCAGAACTATCAACCAGGCCTCTAGGAAAGATGTAGCGCATTACCTTGAGGGATACATTAAACAAAATCACAACGTGTGCACAGCTTGCGTCAACTCTAGGACAGGGAGTGAACAAATCGAGGTAAGCAAACCAGCCCTTTTGGCGTTTCGGCTGGGACCGTATGCTGAATGTTGGGGAGGGGATGGGGTCCCCAACGGTCGACGGTTTACTTCAACTCGGTTGGTACGATAGGAGAGTACTGACGCAAGTGGTGCAGCTGGTCCAGCAGCTCCGCCAGAAGGGCTGGTTTGCTCACCCCAGGACTAAGCCTTGGAGAGGGGACGGACCCGTCCTCTCTTTAAGGCTTAGTTCTGAGGTAAGCACCAAATTGTGGCGGTTTCTAAGGACCGAGTTGAAGTGGTCCGTCCACCCGTCGGTGACTCCATCCCCTCCCCAACATTCAGCATACGGTCCCAGCCGAAGCGCCAAAAGGGCTGGTTTGCTTACGTCAAGAAATCTCAAATCCTCCAGCAAAGTTACGAATTTTTTAGCGCCGTAGTATCCTGTAAAGCGTGTTGGCATGTATTGTACGTTGGATGTTCTGGCCGAGACCAGAGAGGGTGAATTCAATTGAACCTGGACTAAAACTAGGCTTCATCCAACAACTTTCATTCAAGTTAAAAAGTATTTTGTATCCCTCAGACCTTTTCTTCAGTGACAAGTTTAACTTTGATGGGTCAGATGGAGCTACTCAATGGAGCAATATACAGGGGAAAGAAGAGAAAAAAAAAAGAGAAGACGTTTTCCTCCAGACTCAAATGGATTTAATCACACTTTGCTCAGCTCAAAGCGTGTGCTCCCAACTTAGAATTGAAGAGCGCATTTCATTTCATAAGAAAATCTTCATAGTGGCCATCTACGTGGACGGCATCAGAAAAATTTGCCCCGGAAACATGGTGCTCTAGCTCAATGGGGTTCTCGACTGATCGTGTACCGTTACGACGGGTTCTGAAGGGCTTGTTCACGAGCGCTAGGGCCTTGCAAAGTAAGCTGCTGCAGCTGCAAACTTTTTTCTTTATCAGGCTGTTGTCTGGCGCCTCTCATCTGTAGCGCTCTCTCGCCTCATACTCTCCTCTCCGCGCTTAGTCTCTCATTCCCACAGCCGATTAGGAAGGTGAGTGAGCCCTTAACCTAAGCGTTTTCGACGGATTCTTTTCCTTTTTTCTTTACTGCCGGCCCATTTCGCACCAATACATTCATTCGTGTGCAAGAGCCACACCAATGTGATCCTGGGGCATGCCTTCAACAGAGCGCAAGAAAGTCGCAGAAGACCATCTGCTCCCTTTCCTTTTATGAATCCTTCGTGGAATACCTTTCTGACAACCAACGCACCTTGCCTCACAAGGACCGCAATAATTTAATGGTTACAAACAAACCTAGTATTTTAGAATGATGGCCAGCAAGTAGTGCGCGTCCGAAATTTGTTGGCACACACTTGCACAACCTTTCTTAGCAATGGCTGCGCAAATACTCATTGTCAGATCAAAATTTCAAAGTTGGAGCAAAGGAGTGCCCTTTGATGAGCACCACTTTGATTGATAAAAGTATAAACTTCTTGCAGCTCTCCCGCACATTAAAATTGTGAACCTTTACAGAGCGCTAGTGTCCAGCTCGATCCGCGATAATGTTGGGCAATGGCGCGGCGTCACTGTGGCAACGCTTGCTCTTCTCTCTGTCAAAAATGGCGTCAACGAAAGCTGACCGTGACTTCGTCCTTCGCCCCAACCAAAACGAGAAGTTAGGATTTGAATTTTGCTTGTTGGGAGTTCTTTACCCTTTTTGTGGCTCTCAATTGTAAAAAAATGACATCAAACCCGTTTCAGAAAATAAATCCATTCAGATTCCGCCCTGTAAATGGAGAGGCACTTCTGCGGACAACAGCGGAGGAAATGCTGGGAAGTAAAAGCTTTACGTCTGGCGATAGCCTCTCGAATGAACTCGCAACAGTGATTGCTGATCGATTAAAAGGTTTGAGAACGTTTACCATTTTTTAGTTTTATTTCTTGTAAAGAACTGAACTTATATTTTAAGGGCGGTGAAAATTCTCTGTATTACTAATAATGAACTAATAATGAAAGGATCCGAATCTTCGTAGTGTACCACTTTGCAGAACAATAATTAATCGCAAAAACTTCTTGTGCAGTCCCCACATAATTATTCGGAAATACAAAAATAAATACAATAAAAGAAACAAATCATAAAGCAGTCGGCGTTGATCATTCCCTTTTCAACTTACGCCGAGCTCTTCACTTCCATTCAGGATCAAGGAGCATTTTGGATGCAATTTAGCTTTAAAATTTAATTGGTCTAAAATTATTATAATTGGTGGAGATCAGCCGATGTACGGGCCGTGTTTTTAGATGAGAGCAAATGAGTCTACCAATTAACAGAGCCCGGAGGGATCGAAGGCTTGATTGGCCTGAACGGCTTACTATCTGGGACTTTAGCCTGGACTGTGAACGCAGTTAGTGGCGCTATCCACAACCACACATTCAGCGTGAAGCAAATGCCCACTTTTTACTACGAAAACCCCAACTTCAAGTTGTTTTGTTTTCAAATTGAATATCACACATATTGCACATTGAAGTAGCAGTGACCAGCCCATCTTGCCACGTGTACATTTCAATCTCATTCTCCTGAACAACTGACTACTCCATCCACCTTTCCAGGACCGGATAATTTTCACCAGCTCGTTTGAAAGGACAGGAACTTAGGCAGTATCATTTTCACATTGGTTGGACCCGTAATTCATTGTATAGGCTAAATTACATTAAAAGGCCGCTGTGACTCTGGATGTGAATGAAATAGGATTCCATGGAGGCCCCAAACAATTGGACACCGCCGCTAATCTTTACCTCACCTTTGATCCAGGAGGATCTGGCTGTTCATTGGCTTGTCGAATCCAGAGCTAATAGTATTATGTGAAATCAGAGTCAACCCGCCGTCGGGAAATTCCCAAATGGGAGGAGGGGGGGCACCTAAGATTTTTGGAGTGGTTTCCTTTCCGGTTTTTTTGTAGTGTGATTGTGGGAGCTGAGACCGCGTCTGAGATGTTCAGAAAGGGCTCTAGTGCTGATAATGAAGAGTCGTCTTACAGTAGAAGGAGGAGGGGTCGTTTTTGTTGAATTCCTCCGCAGTTTTTTTTTCTGCAGTTTTCACGGAGTTGCATGAAAAAGGTAAATCAAGAGCATCTGCCGTTTCTTTAGTCAGACTTACCCTCATCGCTCTTGGAATGACGACTGGCAGAACCAATTACTACAGAAGCAGTCATGAAGGCGAGAGTAGGGCATGGGGAGGGAGAGGGGTCCTACGGCGAGACCGGCCCGAGGCCGATAGTCATGATAGGAGGCGAATCGAGACCCCCTGGGGAGGTGAGAGGAGGGAATCGTGGAAACTCTGGAAAGACCAGAAGTACCACAACATCGTTGACCCTAGGGGTAGTGTGGGTGGGGAGTGTGGAGCTGTAGAAATTCTTTATAAAGTCACGTCACGGTAAAATCTAAACTCACATATATTGGTGTTTTATCAACAACTCTCAATTTCAAACACCTAATCATGCAATGGTAATTCAATATAATTGAATAATTCATCTGTAATATAAAATCTCATTACAGTAACAACGATAATCTTCCATGCAACCACATCGTAGACAAAAGGAGTGATAAAAGAGAAGTTATTGACCAACTCCTTGAGATAAAGCCAGCATTTGACTTCCATTCAGGGATGTAGGAATAACCCTTTAAAAGCGATTTTCGCAACTCGTTGCTGAGCCCGTGCTCAAGTCTGTGTTGCTATTCTTTTGAACATGCGTGGTATCACATGTCTGGAAGTGATCTAAGAAACTTGACGGAGAATTGAGCAAATGAGAAAGTGTTTTCTTAATGAAAAAAACCGGCAATCCCACCTCTTCAAAAATAGTCGCGTTCCCGCTTTATTCTTTGCTGCAGACTGTGAAGCCGACGAAAACAACAACATTCATCAAGGGTACCTAACGAGGGATCCTTGGAAATGAGAAATCGTGTTTATGGTGAAAAAGATGGCAACAACTTATTTTGATTACCAATCTGGGCTCAAAGATTTTGTTACTGAAGCCACCCACTGTTGATAATGACTTTACAAGTTTGTTGTGCAAATAACTTAGGAGTAATATCTCAAAAAAGTAATTGTTCGCCGCTTGCGCTGTGCACTCCGTGTGACTGAAGACCCGTTTTACTCTTGACAAATTCCTCGCTTTCTCTCGAAGATGGGAAATAATCGTGCGCTAAAATTTGCCATCAAAGAAGCATTCCCGGCAGGAGTAGTGAAAACAATTCCCTTGAGCAGGACACACCTCTAGGCGGCACTTGCAGATGGCACTCTCATGCATGGAAATTGCACGACAAGGACTACAGTGCCTTGCAAAGTTAGCTGCAGCAGCTGCAATGTTCCCCGCTTACAGCTTGTCTGGCGCCCTCTCATCTGTACGCTCTCTCGCCTCATACTCCTCTCCGCGCTCAGTCTCTCATTGCCTTAGCACAGCCGCATTACAAAGGTGAGCGAGCCCTTAACCAAGCGTTTCTGACAAATTCTTTCCCTTTTTCCAGTACTGTCGCCCATTTTAAACCTACACTTTCATATTGGTGCTCGCGCCAGTTTGCCAGTTTAGTACTGGGCTTTAACTTTTAGCCTCACAAACATAATCCATCGTAGAAAGTCCCACAATCCTCGTCCTATCGTTCTCAACTGAATTAGCACAGATGTAGTGAAATGCTGTGTTCTTCTTTGCTTCGCGATGCAAGGCGATCCGATTCAAAGGGGATTTCTTTTCCATCAGAGCCAACCTGAACTTCCTAGTATTAACTTCTACAACTCTTGTTTACACTTATGTTTCAGCTTTGCATCTTTCGCACTACAAGTATGTTGTACAAGTGACTATCGGCGAGCGACATGGCCAAGGGTTTAAGTAAGTTCTAAATCTGCAATCCACTTTTATTACATTGTAAACTCTCGGAAAACACTGCTTGGCCTTGAACCCCTCAAAACCATCCTCAAAAGCTATCACCCCGGTATGGCAAGGTCCAAAATGACGTAAAAAGTTCGTCGGAAAATTTTCAACGAGGGTATTTGTGATTTTGAGGAAGCGTACTTGGCGTTTTAAAGAGGGATCGTGCCGGAAACTGCAGGGATTATGTTTGTAGGTTTCGGGGAAAGGGTTCAGAAGGAGAATATTAGCAAAAGGCTTTTTGAATATAACCAAAAAGTGCTGAAATTAACCGTTGCATGATTTGTCGGTGGTTTTGGAGGGTCATGGAGGAATCCTGGGCGGAACTGGAGTGTATCAAGCGATGGCAAATTCAGCATTCATCGTTCTCGTGCACCATCGAGGGTTGACGGAAGGAAGAAGGTAGTGTAAGGGGCTCTCCAGGTGGTTATTCCCCTGGATGGGTTCCCATACAAAGTTTGAAGAAAATTTCGTAGATGACCTTGAGTAAAAGATGTGATAAGTCACACGTTTCATTGTCACGGATGGAACCTCGGATCCAAATTGAAACATTCATTATGTACACGTTCAGCATCGCATCGCAATGTGTCTGGGACGCTGATTGTGATGGAATGGCGAAATATTTCTATTCTAACGTGAGTCTCTTTGCACGCTTATCAGAGGTTCAAAACAATCAGTTCTTCGAGTGTACTCAAGCACATTCCAGTCTGCATACTGCAGGGTAGAGTATAAAGGGTGTGGTCCACTGGGAGACGGTCAAGAGTCCCCCACGACCGCCGCGCTAAAACTAGGTCACCGCGCGCGACGTCGCCGGCGTTTCTGCAGTTTGAAACATGGCAATTGGCCAAGTTTAGGACCCGCCTCTCTACGATCGATACAACACTTTTTTGTTCCGTCTGTGTAGTCCCCATTTCTGCATTTGTTTTTGCTTAGTCCTAGCAAATTGCCACGTTCCAACCTGTAAGGACCGTAGCCGCCGCGTGCGGTGACCTACTTTCGCTTGCGCGGCGACCTCAGGGGGACTCTTGTCTCGCACCCTCCACTGATGATTAGACGTGGACCTGAGGTTCCCGCAGCAAAACGCAAAAATTTCGCTTTCTGTGCTAATGTCCCGGGTATAAATGAGGTCTAAATAAAATAATTTCAATCCAGCTCCAACCGAACGCAGAAACGTGGTATCAACTATGACCTGTCACCTGTATCACCTAGTGGTCCAACCGATTGTCCAGCGATTTCCTCGAGCGGGCGCAGTGACGTCTCCATGCGTCCGCATGGGGTGGCAGAGTGCTCCAGTGGATCGTCCACACTGCTCATCATTCCCTTCGTGACAAAGTCCGTCCATCCGGCCGGTGGCCGAACTGGTGTTCTTTGACATCGTGTGGGATACAGTCGGTGGCTTCTGGTCCAACGGTCGGATGCGAAACAAGAGTCCCTGAGGTCGCCGCGCAAGCGAAAGTAGGTCACCGCACGCGGCGGCTACCGTGTCAGGTCCTTGCAGCTTGAAACGTGGCAATTTGCTAGGACTAAGCTAAAACAAATGCAGAAATGGGGCCTACACAGACGGAACAAAAAGCGTTGTATCGATCGTGGAGAGGCGGGTCCTGAACTTGGCAAATTGCCATGTTTCAAACTGCAAAAACGCCGGCGACGTCGCGCGGTGACCTAGTTTTGGCGCGGCGGTCGCGAGGGACTCTTGAACGGCTCCCCCAACGGTCCTCACAAATACGCATGACTTGTCCAGCCACATAATCTTCGATTTCCCGGCAAAAAACGGCAGCGTCCCCAATCCTCGATTGATGGCGGAGTTCAAAACCCCAAACTTTTCTCCTGCACAGAAAATTTTCGAGCGCTGCCTCATGCACGGCGCGCAATGACGTTGACTGCATGTGCATGCTGCAGGGAAAGAATCTCGCACGACATTGACAATTATCGCCCGATCATGCGAATCGTCCTTTACGGTACTGGCAGAACACTGGATGAAGGACAGCCATGCGAGCAAGCAGGGTTCGAAGAGGGTTCAGCACGATCGACCATATCCACACGGTTACAAGACTCATTGAAGTTTCACGAGAGTACAAGATGCCGCTTTGTCTCACGTTCATCGACTTGAAGAAGGCCTTCGACTCTGTGGAAACAGAAGCGGTCATCGAAGCTTTGGGCAATCGGGCCTTTTCTACTCTGTACATGAGGATACAATAAAGACCAAGATTTCACCATTGTATAACACCGTCATCGACGTCAAGAGAGGGGTTCGACAGGGCGACACCATCTCGCCCAAACTCTTCAGCGCCGCTCTCGAGAACGTCATGCGTCAACTGGAATGGGAAGACATGGGAGTGAAGGTCGACGGCCGGCAACTACACCACCTCCGTTTTGCTGACGACATCGTTCTTATAACGCCGAATATCAAGCAAGACGAACTGGCTGAGCTCAGCTCCTTGGGACGGGCGCTCAGCAGCTGAACTTAGCAAAGACGATGTTTGTAAGAAACAGAGTGACTGAAATAAACAATTTACTATGGTGGAGAACTGAAGTATAACCAGTACGTTGGTGGCAAGCTGCAATTTTCAGGATTCCTTATGGTGCTCCATGGTCGTGTTTGCGGTATTCCACTACTAAATCTCTGCTCATATTGGGATATTATGTAGCTGTGCTTTTTGTTCTCATCTGGTCCAATAAGCTTTTTTCGTGGAGCAATTCACTGAGTTTTTGGTTGTGTAACGAACTGTCACTACAGTTGTATATATAAAGTGCCGGTAATGTATACGTTGTTTCCGAAAACCAGATGCCCTTCGAATGCAGACCACACAACACAAGTGACGGTGACCTTCACAAAATGTGAGTATTCTCTGCCGATGAAACGATTAGCCAGTTGACAGCCTTGAAGATAAAGGTAGAATTGACACAGCTTTTGTTAGCGAAATGTCCTTTGAGGCTAGCAGCTAAAATTGACCGCTCGCCTGATCTCCTGCAACAGTCATTGGCTTGAACTATTTAATGGGAGACGACGTGCATCCCACTTCTCCTATAACCCTGAAGACTTTGAGTGTGTTGGCGCACACATGAATAATAAATACAATGGGGTGCTGGCAGACTTTCAGTGATAACTTATTCTCAAGGACTACACATCGCACTGCATCGCTGCCTATTGAGCATTTGCCGTTGATCAATCCCTTTTTGGGATGCGGCACGCATTCTACTTCCATTTGTACATTCGTAGTGGCGTTTGAATGCGATGTGGCCTATACAATGACTTGCGGGGGCCAGCCC